CCAGCCGGGAGCGCAGCTCGGTATAGGGGTCTCGGGAGCACCGGGCGTGGAGTCCCGGGACAACAGGGCACGGCGGTCTCGGGAGCACTGGGGAAGGCAAAGCCGGGAGCGTATCTGGGTATAGGGGTCCCGGGAGCACCGGGCACAGGGGAACCGGGAGCACAGGGTGTGGGGGAGCAGGGAGCACCCCTGGGTGTAGGGGTGTCGAGAGCACTGGGAATAGAGTCCTTGGAGTATCCCTGGGTATAGGGGTCCCAGGAGCACCGGGAATAGCGAAACTGGGAACATCTGGATGGGGGGGCAGGAGCACTGGGCACAGGGGGAGCTGCGCACCCCCGGGTATGCGGAAGGTGCCCTGCGGACACTGGGGGGGAGCCGGGCACAATCTGCCTATGGAGGAGCTGCCTCTTGAGCACAGGTAGAGGAGGGCACAGCGGGGCATGGGGGTCCCCCCGGGCCCAGGGGGAGCAGGGCACACCGGGGAGAGGGGGCAACCTCCGCCTGCCACTGAGACATGGTGGCTGCTGTCCAGGGGACCGCAGGGATGAGGGGGTGGCTCTGCTCTACATCGCCTGGGACAAAGGGCCCTGGCTCGAATCACCCAGCACCTCACCTGGGCTGTGGTCTGGCCTCCCCGACTGCCTCGACACCTTTTACACCCCGCGAGCCTGCTGCTGTCAGGGACTGTGTCCAGGGGGTGACACTGAACCGTCCCTTCCAGGGGACGGAGGTTTGGGGGTCTCCTGCTCTGAGGCGGGTTTCCCCAAGTTGCGTCTCTCTGACAGCGGCTTTCAGGTCCTTCCCAGCTCTGCGACGTGACAGGGAATCGGTGGAGCTGCCCTTTACTTATTATGCTGCTGTGCTTTCATTTTTGTGAATATTGGCCTCCTCACAAACTTCCCAGGCTGGAAACACGGCTGCAAAAGCTCCTCCTAGCTCCCCTTGGAAACACCAGCCCGGGCTGTGCTTTCACCCATGCTGGCATTGCTCCATCGGGAGATTTATTCCACATCAGGCGCAGTGACCGAGAGGCGCCTCGGCCGATTCCTTGGCTCGTCTTGCCCAAACCCTTAATGTTTTCTCTTCTACTTTTAGGCTCTGCCTATACCGTAAATGAAACACATGAACAGTCACGGGTGAGGAAGATTTTCAGTGCGATGAGCTGTGTGCAGTCCTTAGCCTTAGAGTATGGCTGTTTTCTTGGACTGGACAGATGTGGATTAGATGCCCTACGTCAAAGAGCCTCATTTTATAGTTTGTAATACCTCCTGTCAGCTTCCGCTTACACAACTATAACACATATATTTATTACCGCTTAGCCAGCTTGGTTTTTTAATTTAAATTTTTTAATTGATTTTTTTAAATTCATTTTTTAATTGAAGAGATTGGCACCAGCCTTACAGCTATAAGCGGGGTGGCCCCCACGTCAGCTGCTTGCTGAGCGTCGGCCCCAGCTCAGGGCTGAGTTTGCAGCCAGAAAAAATTGCCTTCGCCAACTCACAGTGGTGGCGGATGCTTTCAAAACACCTCTCTGCCAGGACACAGGCTTGTAAACTGGAGCATCGCAGGTGTGCTGCTGGTGAATCATTAGGATTACTGGGTAATTACTGGTTTGGGGGACAGCAGGATCTGCTTCGCGCTGGACTCAAGCCTAGGAAAGAGCACTTGCACTCTCCGGAGAAAAGAGCAGCTTATTTGTATGCACAGAGGAGAAATTTCATGTGGGCACAAAGCGAAAACAAAAATTTAGGGTATTTTTCCTCTTGATTTTGCAGAAAACTCCCCTAAATTCCTGGAAACTGGAGCCACCTGGAGAGCAGCTCCCTTGCCCAGAAGAAATCCCCAAATTCTTTTTTTTTCCCCCCCATATGCACAAACCTTTACTCTCTTCTCCCTTTGAGGCAAGTCTCTGACTGTGATAACGCCTTCGATAACGCCTCGGATCTGCTCACACGGCTTCTGCCTGCAGAAGAAAAGAGCCGTGTTTCCAGCCACAAAACCTCCCTGCTCCCGGGGAAACACTGTCCCTTTGTGCCCGTCGCACAATCAAGCTAAACCTTGCGTTGCTAAAAGAGTTTGAACTTTTGAATGTTTCCACTGAAAGCTCCTTTCTGCGGGAATCCAGCCACCCACTGTGACAACAAATGGGCACATTGTGGGGTTCTCGGGGTTTCTGGCCACCACAGATCCAAAAGTTGCCGTCGTGCTGCTTTGTTACCACTGCCAAAGTTGTTTCGCTTCACTGAACCAAGCCCAGGAAGCTTTTTCTTTTTTGTTTTTCCTCTTTACTGTGAGCCCCGGTGCTGATAAATAGAAGCTGGAATTTGCCTTTCTGCAAACATCGTGTTTTCCCATGTATTTATACTGCAAACATCCAGCTGCTGGGAGACACCACTGCGAGCTGGAGCTCTCGCCGCGGAGCCGGGGCCGACGGCGGCTGCCTGCCAGGGCTGAGCCCCCTGGGGTGTCCGGGGTTGCAGCCGAGACAGGGGACCGGAGTGTCCCCGCCACCTCGGCCCTGCTTGCGCTGGGGCGCAGGGGCTGCGTGGCTCCTCACCCTCCTCTTCCTCCCGAGAGAAGGCCAAGCCTGTGGCCTCTTGCCTCTGCTTGGACCCCGAGAGCTCCTTTTCCACACCGGGGCGTTTCTCCCACTGGATGGCAGCATTAGAGCAAATAAACCTCTCCGAGGAGGCCGGTGGGCTTCTTCGAGACTGGCTGGGTCCTGCAGAGGCTTCCCACCTTGCTGGAGAGGGACCTTCCTCCAGAGAGACTTCTCTTTCTGGCCTGGTTGTCTTGCTCCAGGGAGCTGAGGACGTGCAGGTTCAGGTCACTTGTGTTTATTCTGATTTTGTCACTGATGCTTCACTCTCCTTCCTGTTCGGTACTTTGTGATCTGTCCCAGTTCCCAAAAATGGGGTGCCACGTGACATCCTCCACCTGCCCCTCTTCTGCCTGATGCCCATGGGTGCACCGGGACCTGCTGGGACAGGGAGGCTGAGGGCAAGCGGAGGCGCTTCAGCCTGTGACCATGAGAGAAGCAATCCTGGACTGGACAAGGAGAGAGATGCCAGCCCTCATGGGACAGCAAAATCAGGACTTCTTAGCAAGATGCATCTCCTAACCCCCAAAGACCCCTGCTCCAATGCCCAGGATGCAGACAACTCAATATCCAAGTCAATATTCAAGAGATTGAAGGTTCTTGCCTAAAAAAATCTCGTCTTTTAGTTGTAGGAACCTTTTCTGGCCCTGGCAGTTGCAGGGGGGAATGCCAGACCCCGGGGGAGTAGAAAGCAAAAGAGACCCGACCGCTTTTTCTTGCACTGAACTGATTTTAATGTCAGGTGTTTCAATCCTTCCTTAGGATTTCTTGGAGCTGGTGTTTGGCAGAGGGGCTTGGGCAGTGCTGAGCTGCCTGCGACAATTGGTGCTGGTCCTCAGCCCCCTTTTCAAATATAGTGCAGGGAAACCGTTCTTTTCTGGGGCCGTTTGACAGTCGGGAGGTGCTGAGACGTCTCAGCTTACAGGCTAACGGCCGGGCTGGCATCGCTGCGTGCAGAGGGGCGTCCATAGACAGAAAGGGTCGAGCTGCAAAGCCCAGCCTCAGGTGTAATGCGGGATCTTCCCTAGTCCCTCCCACACTGAGCCAGTATCTTGTTTTGGGTTAAAATTCCTCTGAGAGCCAAGTCCCATCTGGGTTGGCCCTTGGAGCATCAGGCCCTTGGTCAGGGGTTAATCACCTGCCCCGTGCAAAGCGGGCAGCTGATTTCCAGGCTGGCTGCACCCAATTTTGACGTCCAAGTGCTTGCTGCCCCTTTCTCCCCTCTGTTCAAAGCAGTTTTTCTCCCCCTCTTTGCCCCTCAATCAGGTCTGTGATGTGGAATTAGCCTTTGGCTGAGCCTGAGGAACTCATGGCATATGTGGATGGAGGCAGTGGGGTCTGACCTCCCGGTGCACTTTTTAAGGGTCTTGGGAGTCCCTCTTCCGAAGCTTTGTGGTTGAGCTGACCTGCCAGCACCAGGGATGCTGGGGACGATGGGGACCGTGGGTTGGGGTCGAGCTCAGGCGGTGGCACTGGGTCCCCCCTGCTCCTGCAGTGCCTGCGCTGGGCACCGCAGCCTCAGCTGCTTGCCCCAGCCCCGGGCGCAGGTCGGGGAGAGCTGCAGGGCGATGCCGGAGAGGGCCGGCACGGCTGGCAGGGAGCAGATTTCACTACTTGATAAATAAAAGGAGGAAACCGGGGATTTTCCAAGCTGGGCTGAGTGATCCGGGAAGGGGAGGGCAGGAACGGCGGGAGCGCCTGTGTCTGCTGAGGAAGGGAAATCCAAGGGTGAGTCCTGCTCCTCTGCGGACCGGGGTGGGCACCTGCTTGCACGGGGGCATCCTACCTCCCCATGAGCAGCAGAGAGCCCATGGCCTGGCCTCGTCTTCCTCCAGGGAGCAAGAAGCATTTGCAGCTTGGCGTTGTCCCCAGGGGGACAGGGGTGGCAAGAGCCTCTCCCCGTTTGCAGCGCTGCAAACCTCAACCCCAAACAGACCTGAGCTTTCACCCAAGGAGCCCTGTAAGTTTTGCTAATCTTGAAATATTGTTGGCATCCGGAGCAGTGATTTACTGCATGTTTTGCCACAGCAAGTACTTTCCAAAAGGCCATGCTAAGTTTACGCTGAAGCTGACGGGATCAAATAACCAGCTGCTGGCTGCTCCCTCCGTCCCTGCTGGCTGCCGTGCTGGGGTGCAAAAGGACATCGGCTTCCCCACGAGGAAGAGGTGACCATAGTCACAAGCAGCAGAAAAAAGGGAACCCCAAAGATGGGGTTGTTGCAGGGATGTAGGTTGTGACCTGGCTTGCAGGAAGTTGTGAACTCGAGCAGGGCTCTGGTATTTCCCTTTGCAAGTCGTGCTGCCAGGGACAGAAAATAACTGGTCCTGGTGTGCATGGCCTGGCCGTGTCCACCTCCCCAAGGGATTTGCAGATTGTGAAATTAAATTAGCTTCTCACCTTCAGTGGCACCCAGGGCCCGTTTCCAGGCTGGGCAAGAGCCCTGCGCATTGCTTCGCGTTCCTCTGGTGCATTGCAGCCCTGTGGGATCCCCGGAGGGGATGCCGAGGAGGAATGAA